CACGTTGCCTTGACCATCCAATTTCTGCGAGCATGTTTCCGTCCCCGCTGTTTGTGGCACTCCGAATGTTACGTAGAAAATGTGTTGTCGTCGCTTCTCGGACCAGCTTGCTCTTCTCACCTTTCTCCGCATGCCTCTTCTCTCCTGATGCCGCTGCTCCTACTCCTCGTCACTCGTCCTCGTCGTCACTCTGGACCTCGTCTTCAACCCCGTGACTCGTCCTCGTCCTCCCTTCACCTCCACTTATCCTTGCACCCATCCCAGATTTCCTCCTTCCCTGTTTTCACTTCCTCCGTCCCTCCGCTACTTCCCTCTCCACCTCCGTCCTCCTTCACTTCGACCCTCCACTACCCGCCCCCTTCTCCTCCTCATCCCTCCTCATCCCCCTGGGATGGATCAGTCCGTAGCCATTTCGTGTCCGGCCCGTGCGACAACCAAACGACGACGATGATGGCGGTGTGTGTGTGTGCGCATTCGTCGTCGCTGGTCGTTATCGTCGTCGTCGCCGTCGTCGTCGTTCGTTGTGCGCATTCGTCGTCGCTGGTCGTCATCGTCGTCGTCGCCGTCGTCGTCGTTCGTTCGCTCGTTCGTCGTCGTCTGGAGGCCCGACGGAGCTCGGGGCTCCGAGGGGCCACGTGTGGCTCCTTGGAGCACCTGCGGGCCCTCGCTGCCGCCCCGCGGCCCGCGCTTGTCCGAGCGCCCTCTCTCCTGGAGGGGGGGGGGGCCGTGGCCCGGCCTGCGCAGACCGAGGCTCCCGTCCTCCCGCCTCTCTGCACTCCTCGAGCGGTGGCGAGGCGCCCCGGCTCGCCCATACCCCTGCCAGGAGAGCCTGCTGCGGTTTCCACGAACTGTTCTCAGAGCATGCCTGGCGCAGTCTGTCTTGTCTCAGAACACACGTCGGGTATAGGTTCCATAAAAGGGCATTGTTTCTGTTCTTAGAACATGCTTGGGTCCGAAGAACACTTCGTGGTAGGACTGAGCATGCCGTGGCGGTCGGTCCCTGCTCAAACTCTGCGCACCCGCTGGCTGGCGTGCCGGCTGCCGCCGCCCTGCGCCGCGGCGCCCCAGGCGGCCGCGCTTCCTTCGGGGAGGCCACGTGCGAGCCCCCCCCCCCTTCCCGCCACCTCACGATGCCTAAGAGGGGGGGTGGGGCTCGCTTCGCTCGGCCCTCCTCCCCCTCCCTCTTGGCATCCCTCGGACGTGTGCACTTTTTCTCGGCGAGAACCATCGAGGACCAGCCTAGACCATCGAACAAAGAAGACGCGCACGAAACCGAACAATGCACGGGAAACGGACGTCCGAGCGACGGCAAGCCCTCCCCCTCGCTGGGCGAAGGGAGCCCCGCCTCCCCCCTCAGAGGTCGTGGGGTGGCAGGGTAGGCTTCGCCTCTGGCCTCCTGCGCTGCCCTGCGCCCATGGCCTCCTGCGCTGCGCCGCTTGGGGTGGAGCGACCGGGGCCAGCTGGACGTGATCGCGATGACCTGCCTAGGCTCCGTTCTGCGCGGGCCGCGGTGGCGTCGTCGCGTCGCGACCAGTGGCCGCCTTGAAGCTTCCCCACCGTCGGGCGACGGGGCGGCGAGACCTCGCGACGCGCGCGCCGAAGTCTGGCGGGCTGGGCGCCCCCGCGGCCGGCGGCGGCATCGCCAGCGGGGGCGATGCTCAGGCGGGGCCTGTTCGAGGAGACCATGACGAGTTTCCCGCGCGCGTCAGAGCGCGCCCGCCAAACGGCGCCCCACGTGGCACCCTCAGTCGAGGGGGCCGCAGGTGCCGGCGGGCGCGCCGCGCTGATTCTCCGCCAGTCGGTGCTCGGCCGCCCCAGCGCGACTGGGCTCCGGGACTTCGCCCTCGTGGTCGACGCCTGCCCCGCACTGGTCGTGGGTTTCAAAACGCCGGAGTCCAGGCCGCTGTCGCCCCCCATGGCCTCGCTGGGGATCTGCGCGAGGGAGGCCGCCGCCAGCTGCGGCCAGACAGACTTCCCCGTCCTAGCGCGCGGCTGCGACGCGTCGGCACTGCGGACGGCTTTGGCGAACGAGAGGCGGCGGGCCCGGGGGGCGCAGCGGCGCGGGACGTCCCGCGGCGCGCGAAGCGGGCTCGGACCGTCACCGAGCTGCAGCGCGCCAGGGCGCGCGCCATCGCCTGCGGCCTGGTGGCGGGCGCGCGCCTCCCAGTGGTTTTTCTTGGCGGCCCCCTGGCCGCCGCGCCGTCGCCCGCCGCGCCCGCGCCGTTGGGCTTGCGGGGGCGGGCGGGGCGGATTCGTCCGATCGCGTCTTGATCGAAGCCAGCCGTCGCCACCTTCCCGCGGTCATGCGCAGCCCCCTGACTAGGCGGATGGGCTCTTCGTCGCGCGGTCACTATGGAGTCCTTGCGGGGTCGGCCAGGGTCAGCGCGGCAGTCCGCCGAACGGACGTCGCCATAATTACCTCGGTTTCATATCGGCCCCTCCGGTTGTTCTCTTGGTCCTGCGCGGCCGGGTCCGAGGTTGGGTCACACGTGGTCGCCCTGCCTGGCAGCTCGTAGGGCCAGGCCGCCATGGGCATTCTGCTGGGCTCCCCTCTTTCCCTGGGGCCTCGCCCCTCACGCGCTGTGGTTGTACCTTCAGGATCTGTTTTGTTGTTCCCCAGCGACGCCCCACATTGTGTGCAGTTGCGTCGGCCCCATCTGTGGGACTTTTGGCGCTTCACCTGGCCTTGTTCTATTTGGTGTTGGTTTCGTATTTGCACACCTGATGGCAAAGTGCACATGGTGCATGAGAATCGCGGTCCTGGCCTGCCCTTTGTCTAATGCAGGCTCTTCATAAACGATGTTTATCGGCTTTGTTTGTCTTTGCATTCCTCCTCCCGGGTTCGGATCTCCTCGTCGGTTTATGGTGCGTATGTTTCTGGTCTCTCTTCTCCTCCCCCTGACCCGCGCGAATCGTCTAGCCTGCCTGCTGTGCCCATCGGTGGAATCGCCCCGCAAGTCCGCCACGCATTGGGGCTGGGGCGTGGCTTGGGGTGTAGCAGGTGATGATGATGCTGCTGATGATGCTGATGATGCTGATGATGATGATGGTGGTGGCGATGATGATGATGAGGATGGTGATGGTGATGGTGCTGATGCTGCTGATTGTGCTGATGATGATGCTGAGGATGATGGCGGTGATGGCAGGACGACAGTGACGATGAGTGTAGTGGTGGTGACAGTGCTGTTGATATCGGTGGCGATGATGATGGTGGTTGTGATTGTGATGATGCTGTTGATGCTGATGATGATGTTGATGACGATGCGGATGATGATGATATTGTTGTTGATGGTGATGTTGATTATGATGATGATGTTGATGATGATGCTGATGATGAGGATGATGTTGATGGTGATGATGATATTGATGATGCTGATGATGCTGATGATGATGCTGATGATGGGAGTGGGAACGGTGATAAACATGAGATTGATGGTGATGATGAGGAGGAGGAGAAATACCAGTGTAAGCACAAGGGCCATCAACGATGTTGGAATAAACCCTCCCTCCAATCTCCCTCTTCACAGGCACCTACAAGGGTTCATTTCCACTGAGCGAACTGCTTCGTTGGAAGACAACCGTCTGAAAACCCAGAGCAATGCCAACACATGTTTCTCGGGATTCCAACGCCACGGATCAACCTGACTGTTGCGTCTTGGCGATCCTGAATCGTGTCAGAATGCCAGTCCTGGCACTTCAATACCACGAATCAACATGATTGTTGCGCTCTCATAATCCTAAATATTTCCAAACAACTATTTCTGGTACGCTGATCATGGGAACCCGTGAAACTCTTGCAAGGTATTAAAACGAATGTGCGCGGCGCTAAGGCGAGAGCCACATATTGAGAAGGAACCGCCCACAATCCGTGAAGATCCTGCAAAGCGTAAGTGCGACTGTGCGCGGCGCTAAGGCGAGAACCACCTTTAAAAAAGGAAAGGTCTCAGTCCGTGAAACTCTTGCAATTGTTAAGACGAATGTGCACGGCGCTGAGGCGAGAACCAAATTTTGGAAAACGATTCGCCTTCAATCTGTGAATATCTTGCATGTTTGAATCGAATGCGCGCGGCGCAAAAGCGGGAGCCACATTTTGAAAACGACCCGCCCTACATATGTAAGCTTGTTGCCACTGTTTAAGCTTCAGGGTCATACATGGTGAGGATGTCTCAGGCGAAACGCCCGGCCCGCCCTAAAACTGGCCTCGGGGTGCAACAGGGAGAAGTTATTTACAAGGGAAAGGAATGGAGGAGGATGATGATGAGGAGGAGGAGGAGGAGGAAGAGGAGGATGATGGGGAAGATGGGCCACTCTGTCCGCAGGAGTGAGCTGGCAAGGATATTGATCAGCCGTGAGAGCCAGCCTGGCGCGAAAGTGCTTGCCACTTTTCTCCAAGCGTCGCTGAGAGGACGGAAGGCGAACATAGTAGTGCTTGGCTAATTGCGCAGAGTGTCGGCCAGCTCATCTCACGACTGAGCTTGATGTCCTGCCGCGTAGACTGCGCGGCAGCTCGTGGCGTTGTACCCCATCGAGGGGACTTCGTTGTTTCCGAAGCGACCCCGCTGTGGACCCCCTACCCAAGGAGCGAGGGCGAGCTGGAGGTGAAGAGCGAGGAGCGAGGAGGAGCGAGGAGGAGCGAGGAGGAGCGAGGAGGAGGAGGAGGACCGAGGAGGAGGACCGAGGAGGAGGAGGAGGAGGAGGAGGAGGAGGAGGAGGAGGGAGGAGGAGGAGCGAGGAGGAGCGAGGAGGAGCGAGGAGGAGCGAGGAGGAGGAGGAGGAAGAGGAGGAGGACGATGGACCGGCCGCCGTCGGAGCTGGAGCTTGCGTCCTGCTACGGCTTCGTCGCGCTCGGGGAAGAACGCCCACTGGGGGGGGGGGGGCGCACAGCGTGGCGTGCAGGCTCTCTTTGGGCACTCGCAGGCGGGAGCGACGGCGGGGCCTCCGAGGGGGATGGGGGGCCGGTTGCAGACGTGCGGCGGCCCCTGGCCTCGGCGCGCGCGCGCGCGCGCCCCTCTTCCGCCGGCGGCCCCGAGGTGCGCGGGGCCCCGGGCGCATGAATGCCGCCATGGAGAACAGGTTCCTCATCGAGGCCCGCCTGCGCGGCCCGCTCCCCCCCTGTCCTCTTCCTCGCCGTCCTCCTCTTCCGCCCCCCTGTCCTCTTCCTCCTCCTCCTCCCCTTTGCTCTGGTCCTCCTCCTCGTCCTCCTCCTCCTCCCCCTTGTCCTCTTCCTCCCCCCCGTCCTCTTCCTCCCCCTTGTCTTCCTCCTCTTCCCCCCACCTTGTCCTCTTCCTCCTTGTCCGCCCCCCTCCTCGTCCTGGACTTGGAGCCGGCCGACGGCCGCGCAGTGCGGCGGGGCCTCGAGAGGCGGCCGCGGGGGCGGCGGCGAGAGGCAGGCGGCACCCAGGTGACCCGCGGGGTTGGGCAAACTCGGCCACGCGCAGAGGGTGGTGTCCTCCTCCTCCTTCTCCTCCTCCATCTCCTCCCCCTCCCCCCCACCCCCCCTCCTCCCCCCTCCCTCCTCCTCCTCCTCCTCCCCTCCTCCTCCATCTCCTCCCCTTCTCTCCTCCACCCCCTCCTCCTCCTCCTCCTCCTCCTCCTCCTCCTCCTCCTCCTCCTCCCCCTCCTCCTCCTCCTCCTCCTCCTCCTCCTCCTCCTCCTCCTCGGGTCGCCAACGGCCCTGGGGGAAACCGCGCAGTAGGGGGAGGGGGTAAGGCTTCTTTGAAGCACCCCTGCTTCTTAGAAGGCGCGGGCCTTCTCTGTAGACGTAGGGCCGGCGACTTCTGAGAAGCAGCCTCCTTCTAAGAAGCAGCCTCCCCCTGCCTCCTCGTGCGCGCCGCGAACATGGTCGTGGTTCGTGCGCCGCGGCGTGGCCCAGGGCGGTCGTCCTTTTCCAAGGGGGTGGCGCGGGGGCGTGACGGCGCGAAGACGGTCATGCGTCGCGGGGCGCGATGGCGCGAAGCTGGGCGACTTAGGTTAGCACAGTGCGGCTCAAGACTGAACAGAGGAGCAGGCGGAGGAGGAGGAGGAGGGGGAGGAGGAGGAGGAGGGGGAGGAGGAGGGGAGGGGGAGGGGGGAGGAGGAGGAGGAGAGGGGGGGGAGGAGGAGGAGGGGGAGGAGGGGGAGGAGGGGGGGAGGGGAGGAGGAGGGAGGAGGAGGAGGAGGAGGAGGAGGAGGAGGAGGAGGAGGAGGAGGAGGAGGAGGAGGGGGAGGAGGAGGATGTGGGAGGGGGAGGAGGAGGGGGAGGAGGAGCTGGGACAGTGCAGAAGACGCGCACAGGTCATGGGAGGGCTCCCTCCCTTCCCCCCTCTCCCTATGGGCTTGTCGATTTTTCGCCAATCGACTTGTGGGAATCGAGCCAGATAAATCCAGGCAAATGCAGATAAATCGAGATACATCCAGGTAAACCGAGATACATCTGGGTACATCCAGGTAAATCCAGAGACCTCCAGGGAAAGTTGGAGCAACTCGCGGCCGCTCTAGCGCGAGTCGAAAGACGGTAGAAGTCGGTCAGCCCTTGAAGACCCTCCTTGCCCATGTGCCAAGACTGGGGTCGCGTTGATTTGAACGCTCCGCCGGCTATGCGAAGTTAGGGGAAGGGACGCGAGTGCAATGAGAAGAATGGTTATGCGTACGGGAGGAAAGGGATGCGAGGGGGTGATGAGGACGCTGGGGAGAAGCGGTCGGGATACTGATGGTCAGGAGGAGGAGGAGGAGGAGGAGGAGGAGGAGGGGGTGATGACAATGTTGATGTTGACGCTGGTGCTGCGGCTGCTGTTGCTGACCATGATGATTGCAATGGCGACGACCAGGACGACGATGACGACGACGACGAACATGATGATGATCATGGTGGTAGTGGTGATGATGATATTGTGGTGGTGATGGTGATGAGGATGAGTCTTGGAGGAGATAGACCCTGATAACAACGGGGTTTGATTGTGTGCATGAAGAAAGCACGGATGATGATTCGAAGGCTTACGCCACACAGCCGATCCTTTAGGGACCTGTGGTTTCCTGCGCATCTTCTGATCAATGAAGGAACGCTTGCCACCGTTAGCCCCCAAGGGCCGGTGGAACCATAAACACAGGTCAGCCTGGTGGTTCTTACTGGGTTTCGCGTCTTTCGTTCCTCAATGTGCCTCGCTCCCAGTGACAGTGGAGCGTTGGTAGTTCTGTTGTTGCTGCTATGATGGCGGCCCCGCGCAGAGGCCCCGTTGGTCCGCGGGCCTTTTTTCTGGTGTTTTCTGCGAGCTCTCTGGAAGCCTGTTGGGATCTACATGCGCGCAACGATGAGGACGCGGAGGACGGTGGAGGAGGAGGTTGAGGAGGAGGGGGACGAAAAACGACGACATCGACGACGATGTGGACTGGAAGGGTCAGGAGGAGGATGGCGGAACAATTGAGCCGAAACAGGAAAAGGAGCAGGAGTGATATGATCAGGGAGGAGAGTGGGGCAGCGAGAGGACTGCAACGTTACCGACGAGGACGAAGGCGCGGATGAGATAATACATGCGAAGGGTCGATACGCTTGGGAGCAGAGAGATGAAAGGAGGAGCAAATCCAGAAGGTGGAGGATAAGGCGATTACGGTTATAATGATTGCGATGACGCATAAAAAGAAACATGCAGTGAACATTCGGAGGATGAGGGTCAGTAGAAAGAGGAGGAGGAGGTTGAGGACGGGCAGGAGTGGGTAAACGACGAGTTGGTGGAGGAGGATGTTGAGCAGGAGTGGAAGGTGGAGGAGGAGGAGGAGGAGGAGGAGGTGGAGGAGGAGGAGGAGGAGGATGGGGAGGGTGAGGGTCGCTGGCCCCAAAGATGCCTCCGCGTCCCGTCGCGCGGGCCCGCAGGTCACGAACGACTCGGACCACTCCTTCGTCTTCGATGGCGCCGCGCTCCCTGTGTCGTGGAGCATGTTGCGTGGATGTGAGAGGAGGAGGGAGGGGGAGGAGGAGAAGGAGGGAGGACGCGGTGCGCTGTCTCTTCAAAACGAGGACTCAACACCACAGGATGGTTGGGAAAAAAACACCATCGGAAGTGATTACACATGCGGGGCCGATCGGTTGTGTCGATGTTGCATGTAGACTGTCCTTCCTGCTCCCCCCTCTCCGCTTCTGCCCCTGTCGACCACCTCCCGCGGCGCGGCCCTCTCTTCGCTCCTCCCCCACCGCTCCTCTCAGCCTTCCGTCGTCATCATCGCGCTCATCGCCCCCCCCTCTTCCCGAGAAAAAGTAGCTCCCCGGCAGGATAGCGCGTTCCCCGGCAGAAGGTGTCGGCCCCCGGGTGGCCATGTCCAGAATTGAGGTTCGCTTCCCGGCAGAGGAGCTCGTTCCCTGGCAGGATGCCTGCCTCCTTGAAGCTCTCACGAAAAGTGAGACTGGCTCTGAAGACCCTTCGCACAGCCCTTGAAGAGCCTCCCAGATCCCTGGAGCCTTCCCAGAGCTTCTGGAGAGCCTCTGAAGAGCCTTCGCAGAGCCCCTGGAGAGCCTCTGAAAAGCTCTTCAAAAGCTTTTGAGAATCTCGGAATATCATTTCAAGTCTTTTTGAGAGCCTCTGAAGAGCTCTTCAAAAGCTTTTGATAGCCCCTACAGAGCTGTTGAAGACCTTTCGAGAGCCTTTGCAGGGCCTCTGGAGGAGGAGGGGGAGGAGGAGGAGGAGGAGGAGGAGGAGGAAGATGACGATGACGCTGATGAGGAGCAGGGTAAGGAGATATGAAGGAGGATGATCAACAAGAGGAGGATACTGATTGAGTAATGCGAGAAATGATGATGAATAGGACGATTAATATGATGATGACGATGATGATGCTGCTGACGATGATGATGATGATGATGATGAAGGTGATGCTGATGCTGACGATACCGATGATGATGGTGGTGATGATGATGCTGATGGTGATGGTGGTGATGTTGATTATGATGCCGATGACGATGCTGATGCGTATGATGATGCTGCTGATGATGATGATGACGATGACTATGTTAATGGTGATGATGATAATGCTGATGCTGATACTGCTGATGATGCATGATGCTGATGATGAAGATGATGATGATGAGGATGACGATGATGCTTGATACGATGTTGATGATGATGCTCAAGATGTTACTGATGATGCTGATTATGATGAGTAGGCTGATGCTGTTGATGACGATGACGATGATGATAAAGATGATGATGGCTACGATGATGACGATGATACTGATGCTGCTGATGATGACGATGACGATGATGACTGGGGCGGTGATAATGATGATGCTGATGCTGATAATCATGAGTGGTCTGCTGCAGTTGCCGTCGATGTTGATGTTGACGACGAGACTGACGATGCCGATGATGATTATGATGATGATGCTGATTATTTATTGCAAGGATGCTGGCGCTGATGATGCTGTTGATGATGATGATGATGATGATGATGATGATGATGATGATGATGGCGTTCATGATGCGGATGATGCTGCTGATGATGCTGCTGCTGATGCTGATGATGATTCTGAGTATGATGATGCGGCTAATGATGTTCATGTTGATGCTGGTGGCGATGCTGAGGATGATGCGCATGCTGCTGCTGATGATGCTGCTGATGGTGATGATGATGATGATGATGATGATGATGTTGATGGTGATGATGATGATGCGGGTGATGCTGATGATGGTGATGATGTTGTTGATGATGCTGGTGCTGCCGCTGCTGATGCTGCTGATGATGCCGATGATGATGCTGCTGCTGATGATGGTGGTTGAGCTGATGATGCTGCTGATGATGATGCTGATGTTAATAATGCCGCGGCTGCTGATGATGCTGATGATGACGATGATGATGATGATGCTGATGATGCTGATGCTGTTGCTGCTGCTGCTGCTGAGGATGGTGGTGGTGGTGATGATGCTGATGACGATGATGATGATGATGCTGCTGAAGATGATGCTGATGAGTGTGCTGCTGATGGTTGTGATGTTGGTCATGGTGATGGCGATGCTATTGATGACGGTGATGATGATGATGGTGATGCGGAGGAGGAGGAGAAGGAGAAGGAGGAGGGAGAAGAGGAGGAGTAGTAGAGAAAGGCTACCACATTTGACGCAGTTTCGTCCCCAGTTCTTGGGGACACGCCTTGGAGCTTGTTTGGGCCAGCGCGGGGCCCGTTTGAGGCCGTCTGGGGGCCTTCTTTGGCCGTTCTGAGGCCGTCTGGGAGAAGTCCTCTTGGGTCATGTTGGGGCGCATCCCCAGTCGTCGTCGTCATGCGTTGCGGTCGTCAGGAGGAGGAGGAGGAAGAGGAGGAGGAGGAGGAGGGGAAGGGGGAGGAGGAGGAGGAGGAGGAGGAGGAGGAGGAACGTGGGATGAGGAGGGACCATATCGATTAGGAGTGAGAGGGGGGGGGCAGGGGTGGAGAGGGAAGCGGAGGATGGAGAGCGTCTTTCGTCGTCGTCATTCGTCGTCAGTCAGCAGTCGTCAGTCGTCGTCCTCGTCACCGTCTTCTGCGGTCGTCGGTCGTCGGTCGTCGGTTGTTGGCACCTACGTGCTCTCTCGCGAGCGCGCGCGGCCCCCCGAGAAGATGCGGACGACGAGGAGGAGGAGGAGGAGCAGGAGGAGAAGGAAGAAGACGTTGAAGGGCCGTTTGGGGGTTGTCTTGTGCTCCTGTGGGGCAGTCTGGGGGGGTCCCTTGGAATTATGTCTTGGGGGGGCATCTGGGGCCGTCTTGGGGTTCTGCTGGGCCGTCTTGGGGCCCTCTAGGCCGCCTGGACGGTCTCCTAGGACCATCCTGGGCCGTCTAGGGGCCCTCTTCAGCAGTCCTGAGGACGTCTTGTATTGAACACATGTTGTATACGTGGTGTATGTGTTTCGGATACGGTTTGCATTCGTGCTGTGTACGTTAGAATGACTTGTCGTGTTCGTTTGTGGTATACGTACTGTAGCGTTGTGCACGTGTGGTCTACGCGTTGTGTTGGTTGCGTTTGCGTGTTGCAGCGCTCCGTCTATGCTGCTACGACCATGGTGGCTACGGCTGGTACTACGCTTGAAGTCAAGGATATGACGACTAGCGCTGGTACTTACCACTTCTACTACGAGTGCGGCTACTAATGTGACTGCTGCTTCCACTACTATTACTCCCACGACGACGAAGACGACGGCTACTATTAATACTACGACGACGGCGACGACTGCTACTGAAACTACGTCTTCTTCTTCCCCGGCTCTATGATCGTTTTACCGCGAGTGTACTGTTATAGTGTTACGACTGCGACAACTGCCACCACTACTACTACTACTACTGCTACTACTACTACTACTGCTACTACTACGGCTACGGCTATGACGACGACGACGACGACTACTACTACTACTACTACTACTACGACTACTACCACTGCTACTACTACTACTACTACTACTACTACTACTACTACTACCACCACTACTACTACTACTACTACTACTACTACTACTACTAGAACTACTACTACTACTACTACTACTACTACTACTACTACTACTACTACTACTATTCCTACTACTAATATTACTACTACTACTACTACTACTACTACTACCACGACGACGACTACTACTACTACTACTACTACTATCACGATTACTATGTCCATTTTCACCACCGCTACTGCCTCCACTACCCATATGGCTACCACGAGTAGGTGCCACTACTGCTGCTGCTACTGCGATCGCTAGTTCCAGTAGTAGTACTACTCGTACAACCGCTACTACTGCTACTACTGCCCCGACTATTACTCAGACGATTACTTCTGCGTAGCACGCCTGCTACTATTCCAAAAACTACGAAGACTACCACTACTACTACTACTACTACTACTACTACTACTACTGCTACTACTACTACTACTACTAGTAGTAGTAGTACTACTGCTACTACTACTAGTACTACTACTTCTTCTTCTACTACTACTTCTACTGCTACGACTACTATTGCTACTACTGTTACTACTACAACAACGACTACTACGACTACTACTACTACTACTACCACTACTGCTACTGCTACTACTACTAATACTACTATTATTACAACTGCTACTATTACTACCACGGCTACTGCGGCTACTTGGGCTACTACTCGCACCACCACCACCACTACGACTATTATCACCACTGTTCGTGCGCTTACTACTGCCACGTTCCTGCCACTACTCCTGCTACTACTACGATTACTACGCCTAGAACTATTACGACTACTGCTACGACTACTATTACTACCACTGCTACTACTACAGCTACGGCTACTACGACTACGTCTACGACTACGACTACAACTACGACTATGACTACGACTACGACTACGACTACGACTACTACTACTACTACTACTACTACTACTACTACTACTACTACGACTACGACTACTACGACTACTTTTCCTACTACTACTGTCACTGGCACAAGTCCTGCCACCGATCGCGGGCACCACAGCTACCACTACTGCCACTACTACTACATCTTCTACTACTACTACTACTGCTCTTATTCATGCTACGATTTGGACTACCACTACTACTACTACTACTACTACTACTACGTCTACTACTACTATTACTACTACTACTACTGCTACTACTACTACTACTACTATAACTATAACTATAACTATAACTATAACTATAACTATAACAATAACCATAACCATAACCATAACCATAACTATAACTATAACTATAACTATAACTATAACTATAACTATAACTATAATTATAACTATAACTACTACTACTACTACTACGATTACTTCAGCAACCACCCGCACTTCTACTATTACGACTACTGCTACTACTGATACGGCTATTGCTACAGCTAGCGCCACCACCGTTAGGGCGACTACTACCATTACTACGAAAATCCGGATTCTCTTCTT